ATGGAATTATAAAATAATTGCAAGAAGAAAACAGAACAACAGCAATAACAACAATAAATAATGTGCCTCATTGTTCAGTGTTTCCGGAAGTAAAGTCATTGGAATATTAGGACTGACTGTCCACTATTCCTACAACATAAAAACGTGATGTGATGTGATGTGATATGATTGTGATTTTTAACGTAGCTTTAACAATTTTTCAGTCATATTGCTACGATATCTGCAGTGTGGCAGTTTATAGTGACCACATGAAAACGTAACGCATACACCTAATATGGGAAGGGTTTGAAGCGGATAGAAAGTAGAAAGAATATACTAAAGTTCATGATATCAAGAAAAAGTGACCACTGCCCGTGTTAAAATCCTAAATGTGCCACTTTTACAAATGTGAAATATTTTGACCGTCTTCTAGTAACCATTATATATGCAATAGAAAACATTTCACCTGACGTGCCACGCAAATGATGATTACATGTACACAAAGAAATAGGTTGCCGTTTCACCTGACGTGGCACGCGAATGATGATTACATATTGTAGACAAAGAAATAGGTTGCCGTTTCACCTGACGTGGCACGCGAATGATGATTACAGATCGTGCACAATGAAATAGGCTGCCGTTTCACCTAACGAGGCACGCAAAATATAATTACATGTTGTTCACAATGAAATAGGTTGCCCTTTCAGCTGACGTGGCACGAAAAGATAATTACATATACGCAAGTGGTTTAGAAATATTCTCTGTACGCACAAAACTTCAGAATTTACGAACTAAATATTATTATTATTATTATTATTATTATTATTATTATTATTATTATTATTATTATTATTATTATTATTATTATTATGTACCCTCACGCTGTTATGGAAATTTAATCAAACATTGATTTTGGTCTGACAACTTTATGATTTTCTTAAATGAAAGGCTGATAACTGTTGTGATTAGATTGGTTTCTAAAAATAATGGTGCTTGACCAAATACTAGTAAAACAACGTAAATATTTTAGATAATTCGGTAAATATTTGTATTTGCAGGTAATTTTCGGTACTGTAGCTTCCTATTTCATCCAGCTAGAGAAGGGGTATGGTGTTTATGTTGTCGGTGATATTCCTAGAGGGTAGGTAATAGGGAGAAAAGGATAGTTGAAGCAGAAAAACCCCCACCCCAGGTATCATAAAGTCACATATAAAACTACTAAAGTAATTAAAAAAAGACATTAACGATCGGGGCCGTTATATACGAATCGCAGAATTATGATAACCACGTCTACTTGTTAGTATAACATTTTCTGCATAACCAACATTTCCTTTTTAATTTTTTTTTTCACTTTATTAAAGATATATTTTCGATCGATAATGCACAGTAGGTGACATTGATGTATAATGATTCACACGGTGTCCAAGAAAAGATGGGCTTGGAGCCCATTACAGTTTTTAAAAATTAACAGCTTTTGTGGGTATGTGGCGTTTGGGGATTCATTAACAAGCATAACTCGTGCAAGACATGTGCATAATATCGGGGATTCATTAACAAGCATAACTCGTGCAATACTTGTACATAATAAATTCATTATTGTCTTTAGATGAAATATGATTGCGATGAATACAAAAAAGTATCAAGTCATTACCTAATCTAAGATGTGCTTTCAAAAAACAAGTAAGACAAGTTGAATCCAGCGAAACCTGTCATTGCATATATCTGTAAGTACAGGACATCTGTTCATAAAGAACACTTCTAAAAGATTTTTCTTACTTTTATTGAAGTCTTTCACCTTTAGAGAATCTAAATCTAAACATAAAGGAAAACCGTCGTCTCTTAGCAGTCCTTTATATCTGAATTAAAATTGTGTGGTCCATCGTTTTTTTTTTGTAGACAAGTTTCATTTTTATTTATAAAACCGGATGTAGATCATTGAACGCTGCAAATTATCCATACATAAGTTAAACCATCAATATTGTTACTTCTTTTTCTTTCTTTTCAAGTATAGGCCATGTTTAATCCTAGTTTCTGGATATATTTTTGTACAACATCTTTGTTGTTGTTGTTGTTGTTGTTGTTGGGCTTTTTATGTTCACGGAATTGCTAAGGTTTCCTATCAAGTCAAAAGACTGAGACTTTTGCTTAGGTACTAATGTACTGGAAAACAATATACAGGTGAAGTCAGCGAACCCGGTTTATTACCCTAGTGGAGCTTCGTTGAGGTGTGGCACCTGTCTTATCAATTCTTAATTTTGTAGTAGTCTTATTGTGTTTATCGTGTTCTTTATATTACAAAGTAAATTTTTATTATTTCAATATGTATGTTATGTTTTTAAGGAAGGTGTTGTGTCCGGTTTTATTTCTGTCTTATTTTTCCTTTTTTAATTTATGCAAATCAGCCATTTGCAGGAGACCGAAGACAGTCACAGAAATGGAGTTTTCTTTTTGTTGTAAAATTAAAGTTTCACAGCGAAGCATTTCTCAAACTTAAATTGTTATTATAATATACCAGGGGTTTAACAGCATCTCATTACTGAGCAAATGAAGCAGCACTTCCGGGAGGCCAGCTTAGCTAACTAGTAATTAGCTAACTACTAGGTTTGAGAAATGTTTCCAATACCGACTTGCCATAATACAAACAAAAGTCACTCAAATTTAATAACGCTATAAACTGGGATTTAAATGAAAATAGTCTATATCTTAGACTTGTTCCATTATTTTTTTAAATTTATTTATTTATTTATTTTCATTGTACTCTTTGTCTCATTCAAGACTTCCAGCACCATCGGTTACTCAGCTGGTCCATATACCTGATGTCATTGAGGATGCCGTTATAATTGCCATCGTTGTGTATGCTGTGTCCATTTCCATGGCAAAGATTTTAGCGGAGAAAAACGACTATGCAATTAATCCTAACCAAGTGAGTAGCCGTCTTTCTTTAAAACTAATTTTCTTGTATGCTAAGAAAAATTTACATAATTACTTGAATGGCGAGATGTAATGCGCATATATAAATATAGACGTATGGTGATGGTTTTTTTGAATATACAAATACGTATAAATAACTGATATTCATCGCATTGCTCAATTAGAAAATACAAAAATGACATATAAAGTTATGCACAGTTTAAAAACAGAGTTATGGAGCTTCTAATATTTAATGTAGATAATTGATTAATTCTGGTCAATCAATTTCCAAAGTTAAAATTTCTCTTTATTCGACCTTTTACATGTACTATATAGAACACTATGAACATTTGACCTGACATTATTTGTCACACACTGATTTTCAAATATAACACGAAAGTTTTTTGGCAAGTCAATTGATAGATAATTTTAAAAATCTATCGTTACCAGCTAACATTAAATATCACTATTACTTCTTAGTAATAATAACTGAAATATTTTTTTTTTTTATTTTAGGAGCTTATAGCCAATGCATTCTGTAACATCATCTCGTCGTTTTTCTCTTGTTTCGTCTGCGCTGCATCTCTGTCCCGAAGTCTCGTACAAGAGCGTGTTGGTGGTAAAACACAGGTCAGTCACGTGTGTATTAAATAAAATTACGTGTATAAATGATTCGAAACAATAAATTGATATATATTTACTCTAAACAATTTCAGACAGGAAAATATGTTTGAAAAGAAAATTAATCAGATCAGAAACCTTAAGTGCTTTGGGACCGCAGTATTTCTTTTGATATTTGATTTATTCGCATTAGCTGAAATAGGACTTTTTAAAATACAGATTTACTCTATTTATTCTGAATGATTGATACAATTATAGGTCTCCTTATTATCTTCATCATTTTTAAAACAATATTTTTTTCCACATGTTGCATCGCTATTTCATCGCCTTTGTTGCCATTTAAAAAGATGTAGTTGTGCTAGTTAGTTGGATTTCTGTGAAGATGGTCATGGAATCCATCTAAGTGATAAATGCATATAAATTAACCATACGTTTCCTAACTCGATCGAGCGCGTTTTGCATATGTAAAGACAAATACATCCTTTCCTTAAAATTCACCCAAAATGGTTCTCTTTGGTACATAGTCAGACTTTAAGTTTTAAACTTATAAAGTATCTTTTTGAAGTCACTTGCCTTCACTATTTTCGGTGGACGCACAATGCAGCGTATTTGTATGCAATTGGTTGGTTTGCTTTAAATACTAAAGGAGGCAGGTAATGAAATCCAATAGATGTCGTTTGTGCAAAGCACTGAAATATCGTATAATTCCGCCAAGGTGTAGATAGGTTAACATATCGGAACCTTGACCTATTAATGGGAGGAATTTCTTCTTGCTTACATAATGTTTTTATTTCAGGTTGCTGCCTTAGTTTCGTGCTTACTGGTACTGGTTGTTCTTCTGGCTTTGGGACATCTGTTTTATGCACTGCCGCATGTGAGATACAAACCGTTAGCATGTTTTAATGCTTTTAAATCGTCATAAGCTCACTCGTCATAAGCTCACGAATATTCTTATAATAATTCATAACACGCGCTATGCGTGAATCGTTGTGTAATCGTACATGTAATGATGATAATGCATATCTCTATACATTTTCCCCACCCCATCCATCGAAAAAAAATTAAACAACCAAACCTAATTTATGTTTGATTACATAATAATATGGGAAATTAAAGTTGTATTAAACGTTTTGTTACTGAGTATACGAGTTGTCGATGATCTAGCGGTTCGTCAATTAAAAATAACTTCACCCTATGCCATAATAAGTTTCTATCCATGATATTTCCTTCTAAATGTTCCTACTTGTATATTTCAGTGTGTGCTTTCCGCCATCATTATTGTGGCACTGAAAGGGATGTTTATGCAAGTGTTACAGTTAAAATCGCTGTGGAGCATTTCTAAAATTGATTTTGTAAGTTTGTCCTTTCCATGTTATTTCATGTAAGATAAGAATGTTTAGTTTAAAACAGGGTGATTATAGTTTTGTAGTTGTATTTACATGCTTGTTGTCTTCACGCATTCTGAATCGTACATTACTAATGAATGCTCCGACCGCTCCGGTAGCTTAAGTGGTCAGAGTTTCCGCCTCGGTTGCGGGAGGTCGTGGGTTCTATCCTCGCTTGTGTCATACCAAAGACTTTTAAAAAGGGTGCTAACAGCTGACTCGCTCGGCGCTCAGCATTCAGAATTTAGTATTAGGACTGGTCGGCCTGGTGTCATGATAATGTGATTGGGTGGGACACCATGCTACATGTCTGTGACATGATCCCCAGTACTAGGCATCACTATAAATTGATAAACTGCCACACTGCAGATAACGTAGCGATATAACTAAAACAATTGTTAAAGCTACTTTAAAAATCCAACACACACACACTCACACGTGTGTGTGTGTGTGTGTGTCTGTGTGTGTGTTTTATCACCACTAAGGAGAAATGACTTCTGGAGTTAATTTCTGTACCGTTTCAAAAACGTCTGCTATTACGTATGTTACATTTCCATATACGTTAAAATCACGACAAACACTCTACATTTAGGTGAGATATAACGAGGTACACCCAAAATTAAATACCAACAGAAAATTTAAAAACAACAAATTTGTTTCAGGTATTGACATGTCTAACCCACTCTTCTGCATGCATTTTACAAATGATCCTAGACTGAAATCAGATGAGACGTTTTCTACTGGGCACTAGTCACCATCGATACATGTTACCCTCTACGAATAATGTTAAAGGTTTTCGGGACAAAATTCTGGCTAAAATATGATACTAATGATTGATTTATTAGCAATGTAATTCTCATCAAACACATAATCTTTTTGTATAATGATGGGCATACCGATGATTGATGAGTGCTAATTGTAAACCAGACCTAAGTGACTATCAGAATTGGGATGCAGTGTGTAAGCGAACTAGACTGCAAGCTTAAGATCTTTATCTTGAAGGTATTACCATCAAAAGCTGTCGAATCAGACCTCTCTGTGGCAAAGTTACCACTACCTCAGGGGGCCCCAAGTAGCCAAGTGGTCTAAAGTGCTCACCGTTACGGATCATTGCCATCTCACCTCTGTTTGCGTGGGTACGAGTCTCAGGATCGGCCAATGTGGTTATAAGAGAAAGCTTGCCGGTAGCTTCTTGTGGGTCGGCGGTTCTTTCTGGGGGTTTTCTGGGTTCTTCCTACATCATTAATACTGGCCGCTATGTGCTGAAAAATGGCGTTAAACCCTACAGCAGCAGCAGCAACAACGACAACTGCAACCACTGCCTTAACAATGCTCAATCCGCTCAAGCAATGTGTTAAAGAAAATACTTGTTTTGCTTTTCGAACGAAAATGAGTGATTTATTTGACAAAATACACGTTATATTTGGGAGCCAAATTTAAAAAACAAAATCAATCTCAAATTATTGTAACATTTTGAACTTCTTTTTATATTTGCAATAATACATCTTTTTCATTAGCTATATTGGTGCACATTGGAAAAAAAATAATCCAAGTCTATGCGTTTCGGTTCGATATAAGTGAAGTGAGGATATAATACTTTATTTTACTCGTGAAATATTTCCTTATATGTACTAAAATGTTTATATACTTTATGTATGTATGTATGTATGTATGTATGTATGTATGTATGTATGTATGTATGTATGTATGTATGTATGTATGTATGTATGTATGTATGTATGTATGTATGTATGTATGTATGTATGTATGTATGTATGTATGTATGTATGTATGTATGTATGTATGTATGTATGTATGTTTGCATCTGATCTACGTTATTTTTCCATCCACTGTTATACGACCTATTGGAATACTGATAAACCTTTCATTCTGGTCCACAGACGATATGGCTGGTCACGTTCCTGGGAACCGTTGTCCTGGATGTTGATTTAGGCCTTGGAGTTGGTTTTATTATGGTCATCCTGTCGATCATTTACCGGAATCAAATGTAAGGAGATATAACTCTTTTACTTTAAGACAGTCTTCTAACCTCCAAAACTCTATACTGTTCATTTTAAACGGCATTTATCATGACACCCAACCCCTATCCCCGAATCAATAAGTTTAATTTATAGATATGAAAATTACATTTTACAATAGACCCCCTCCCATTGACCCATGATTCGAAGTTGCGTATCGGGTCGGGTTCTGTAGAAGATAGCGAAGATGGGGATCGGTTTAACGGATCAATTGGGTACATTCCAGTTTTTCGCGAATTCTTCCGTTTGTGGACGCACAATACGGATGCATAGAGTATACACCGCAAAGTACATCTTGATAAAATCTGTTAATACCTACATATTAAACAGCGGACTATATTCTTCAACCTTTTCGTTTAGCTCACTATTTCGTAAATGAATATGACTCTATAGGGCATCATTGTTACGTTTACTGTCATTCAGAGGTACGGAAGAGAGAATAGCTGTCTCACAATGTTTCTTTAGATCGTCTTGATATGCATGTATCGAAATCTGACAAGTACAAATTATATAAATTTTATTTATAATTGTTTTCATTGATTTTGACGACTTAAATATGCTATTACCTTTTCTTGTCAGCCAAGCTAGTACCATATTAGGCAATCTTCCTGGTACGGAGCTCTACAGGGATGTCAGGTCGCAGAAGCAGGTAAGGGGCTTTCCATACCAATAACGTTTGTATTCAGTATAGCTATAGATGCAACCGATTCCTGCAAATGAATGAAGTGCTTTCGTTGTGTGTGTGTGTGTGTGTTTGTGTGTGTGTCTGTTTGTGTGTGTGTGTGTGCGCGGGGGATGAAGAAATTTTAATAACAAAAGACTGATCATATTTATTTTTGCTGAAATGTCAGGAAAGTGCATTTCCCTATTAGTTCTGTGAAAATCACGAATGGAAATTGATTTTCTAAACTACACTACATTATATATACATCATGTAAATAATAGATGTTACTTATGAATTTAAAAATCAATGTATTAATTATTCAAATTACACATAACCAATATATTATATACTTAGGATATTAATTTATTCATCATTCTTAGGTTGAAAAATAATCATCACATTTATTTACTAAGTTCTTAATAGATTGCACGATTCGATCGTGTATTTTAATATCCTATCATTGTCGTTTACCAGGCGAGAGAGATACCTGGGGTGAAAATTGTCCATTTTCCACAATCGTTGTACTTCGTTAACGCCGAGACTTTTCGCTCAAGCATCTATCAGGATACGAAAAGTCCGAAATCAATAAAATCCGCAAAATTGAAGGAAAAACATGCCTATGAAAACACTCATATGGCCCAAATAATGGTGGATCCTCCAGAAAAGGTAACCAGCAAACACTGTATACCATATTCTCGTTTTTGTAGCGACATCATTTGCTGCATTAAAAAATCTTCAAATTAACTTAACCATGGGATTAATAAACAAATATTGCGTTAAGGTCTTTACCGTAAATAAATGTACGACTTATCAGAGAGAGAGAGAGAGAGAGAGAGAGAGAGAGAGAGAGAGAGAGAGAGAGAGAGAGAGAGAGAGAGAGAGAGAGAGAGAGAGAGAGAGAGAGAGAGAGAGAGAGAGAGAGAGTTTGGCATGTATTGCGCGAAGCAGAGAGAGAGAGAGAGAGAGAGAGAGAGAGAGAGAGAGAGAGAGAGAGAGAGAGAGAGAGAGAGAGAGAGAGAGAGAGAGAGAGAGAGAGAGTTTGGCATGTATTGCGCGAAGATCCAATACATTGTACTCTCTGGATTTGACAGGATGCCCAAGTAGTGGAAAGGGATGGGTTTTGACGTGGGAACAGCAGAGGCCCAGTATGGTTGAGGGTAGAGTTGGTTCCATAGTGACCCAAAGTGAAGAATTACGAATTTCATACAAATGTAGAGACAAGCACTAGTTTAGACGGACACACACCTATTCACAGACGAACACATATAGAAAGGCTAACACTCATCCTTGCAAAGAAACATACATTCTTAGAATCCAACACCCATGCATAAAGACCAACACATGTCCTTACAAATGAACATCCATACGTATAGACAAACTCCCACCCAAAAGACCTGCACTTATCCTTCATGACAAACACACATTCTTACAGACCAGCACCGGTATTTACAAACGCTCGTGCTTACAAACAATCGACCATTATTTCCAATATAACATTAATGGAATGGGGATCAGGACATGGTATGATGGTAATTTCTATTTTTGTATAATTCTTGCCAGTAATAAGGAAATAGCCCTGAAGCGGGCCGTTTGGTTTGCTCTGAGCGGAGTCTTTGCTTATTGACGATAGTAGTGGCACCTCTCAGACTAAACTCAACATCTACATCTGTTTGACCACTTATCATGTGACCAGGAGCTGACTAAGACCGAGAGCTCCTTCTGATGTTATGCAAGTTGGCAGTGATAGTTGTCCTCCTGCTCCTGTTCTTTTTTCTGCTCTTACTATTCCCACTCGGTTGTCTGTCTCTCCAGCCGTTCTTGGAAGGAAACCCTGGTTTGTTCTTTCATCTGCCTCATCTGCTGTATCTCTTCCTCTAAAAGCTCAGAGACGATTTCTTTGGCTGTTTTGAAGTGGACAATGCTCTCTGGATCTCCCTTTTAGTGTATGGCAAGAAGTCTCTCACCTGGTGCAGGAAGGAAGCTTCCATGTTCATATATGTCTATTTTCTCTTTAAAACTCAGTTTGTCTTGTGAGCAATGGATGACAAAAGTGACGAAGTTGCTGCGCGACTGCCAACTACGTCATTTGAAAATCTTTAGGCCCCTTTAGCTAAAAGTAGTATCTGAGACGGCTGAATTTGCAATGTAGCAGTAGTTTTTCTAAGGTATTATGATTGGATAAGTATTTTCGAAGAAACATATTTTACTACTAAAATTGGTTCTTTACATAAAGTGTATGATAACGTCATTATTTAGCGGTATTCCGTGATAAAAATATTATGGACTGAAGGGCAACCCAGTGTTTACCCGGTCGATCTCTATTTCCCGTATTGCTCACATGTGCTGAAAATGTTTGGATCTTCAATGAGGGAGTCTGTATGGATTCATGATGCTGTGTATGAATCGTACATACGCAGGTGTTGAAGTTACAAATGTATCCATTCACATGTAATGATAGCCGAGGATATTAAATTTTATTT